TGAGTTGAATAGCCCTAATTTCTGGTCCTGTATCGTTGGAAATAGATGTTGGAAATGGTTGCTCAGTGCTGCAAAGAAAAATTAGCCTGAGACAAAGGATCTTTCAGAAACACAGTTATTACTTCCTGGACTGCAGGAAGGGTACTCTCACTAGCCATCTTGCCACAAGAGTACAATGAACAAAGGAAAACACACACATTTATTTCTTATGCATTTGGGGTTGTCCTCACTGCTGTGTTTGATCTCTGTTGGCTGGAGCCAGACCTCACAATCTAAAACCCAATTGGCTAACAACTTAAAACTTTTCTAAACAGGTAAAAACACTGGAGAGCTGGGACATGGCTGTGAGCACGTCCAGCATAAATATCTTGGTTAAAGTACAAGGACATAGAACGTACTATGTGCCTGTAAGCATGGCATGTCTAACAGCTACCTAAGATAGGGCTTAACAAAGTTACTAGCATACTTATTCTTTAACAAGAAAGGAAACTTTAAAAAGGAACTTTTCTATTTACCACATGTATTTCAGGAATACAGTTTATTTTGATTGGTATCTTATATTAGGCATGAAGATGAGGCTTTAATTGCTGTCTATGTTTAAGATTTGGCAGGACTTGGTGTCCTTGTTGTTGTTTTGAGATGAAGTTTCACTCTTGTTGCCCAGGCTGGAGTGCAGTGACGGGATCTCAGCTCACTGCAGCCTCCACCTCCCAGGTTCGAGCAATACTCCTGCCTCAGACTCCTGAGTAGCTGGGACTACAGGTGCATGCCACCACACCAGCTAATTTTTTATATTTTTAGTAGAGACAGGGTTTCACCATGTTAGCCAGCAAGACTTGGTGTCCTTTTTAGGCCCAGGAGTCAAAGCCCCGTAACTCAATGTCACAAGGACTTTAAAAGTACATACAGAGCTGGGCACGGTGGCTCATGCCTGTAATCCCAGCACTTTGGGAGGCCGAGGCAGGCGGATCACAAGGTCAAGAGATCGAGACCATCCTGGCCAACATGGTGAAACCCCATTTCTACTAAAAATACAAAAATTAGCCAGGCGTGGTGGCAGTCGCCTGTGGTCCCAGCTACTCAGGAGGCTGAGGGAAGAGAATTGCTTGAACCCAGGAGACGGAGGTTGTGGTGAGCGGAGATTGCACCATTGCTCTCCAGCCTGGGTAACAAGAGCAAAACTCCATCTGAAAAAAAATGAAAAATACAAAAAGTAGCTGGGCATAGTGGTGCGCACCTGTAGTCCCAGCTACTCGGGAGGCAGCAGCAAGAGAATTGCTTGAACCTATGAGGCAAGGGTTATGGTGAGCGGACATTGCACCATAGCCCTCCAGCCTGGGTAACAAGAGTGAAACTCGGTTTCAAAAAAAATAGGAAATAGAAAAATTAGGTGGGCATGGTGGCGCGCCCCTATAGTCCCAGCTACTCGGGAGGCTGAGGCAAGAGAATTGCTTGAACCCAGAAGACGGAGGTTGTGGTGAGCCGAGATCCCACCATTGCACTCCAGCCTAGGTTACAAGAGCAAAACTCAGCTAATTTTTGTATATATATTTTTCTTTTGAAACCGAGTTTCGCTCTTGTTACCAAGGCTGGAGTGCAATGGCGCGATCTGGGCTCACCGCAACCTCCGCCTCCTGGGTTTAAGCAATTCTCTTGTCTCAGCCTCCCAAGTAGCTGGGACTACAGGCACGCGCCACCATGCCCAGCTAATTTTTGTCCATTTTTGGGTGTGTGAGACGGAGTTTCGCTCTTATTACCCAGACTGGAGGGCAATGGCGTGATCTCGGCTCAACTCAACCTTCGCCTCCTGGGTTCAAGCAATTCTCTTGCCTCAGCCGCCCAAGAAGCTGGGACTACAGGCACGCACCACCATGCCCAGGTAACTTTCGTATTTTTTTTTTTTTTTTTTTTTGAGAGGGAGTTTCGCTCTTGTTACCCAGGCTGGAGTGCAATGGCGTGATCTCGGCTCATCGCAACCTCCGCCTCCTGGGTCCAACCAATTCCGCCTCAGCCTCACGAGTAGCTGGGACTTCAGGTGCGGGCCACTATGCCCAGGTAATTTTTGTATTTTTATTTCTTTTGAGAGGAAGTTTCGCTCTTGTTATCGAGGCGGCAGTGCAATGGCGCGATCTCGGCTCACCTCAACCACTGCCTCGTGGGTTCAAGCAATTCTCTTGTCTCAGCAACCCGAGTAGCTGATACTACAGGCACGCGCCACCATGCTAAGCTAATTTTTGTCCTTTGTGTGTGTGTCTGTGTGTGTGACGGAGTTTCGTTCTTGTTACCCAGGCTGGAGTGCTATGGCACGATGTTGGCTAATCGCAACCCTCGCCTCCTGGGTTCAAGCAATTCTCTTGCCTCAGCCTCTCGAGTAGCTGGGACTATAGGCACGCGCCACCATGCCCAGCTAATTTTTGTATTTTTTTTTTTTTTTTCAGACGGAGTTTCGCTCTTGTTACCGAGGCTGGAGTGTAATGATGCAATCTCGGCTCACCACAGCCTTGGCCTCCTGGGTTCAAGCAATTCTCTTGTCTCAGCCTCCCTAGTAGCTGGGACTACAGGCGCGCGCCACCATGCCCAGCTAATTTGTGTCCTTTTTTTCTTTCTTTTTTTTTTTTTTTTTTTTTTTTTGTGAGACGAAGTTTCACTCTTGTTACCCAGGCTGGAGTGCAATAGTGCGATCTGGTCTCACCAGAATCACCGCCTCCTGGGTTCAAGCAATTCTCCTGCTTCAGCCGCCCGAGAAGCTGGGACTACAGGCACGCACCACCATGCCCAGGTAACTTTTGTATTTTTTTTTTTTTTTTTTTTTTCTTTTGAGACGGAGTTTCGCTCTTGTTACCCAGGCTGGAGTGCAATGGCACGATCTCAGCTCACCGTAGCCTCCGCCTCCTGGGTTCAAGCAATTCTGACTCAGCCTCACGAGTAGCTGGGACTTCAGGCATCCACCAGTATGCCCAACTAATTTTAGTACTTTTTTTTTCTTGAGACGGAGTTTCGCTCTTGTTTTCCAGGCTGGAGTGCAATGGCGTGATCTCAGCTCACCTCAGCCTCCGCCTCCTAGGTTCAAGCAATTCTCTTGTCTCAGCCTCCTGAGTAGCTGAGACTACAGGCCGGCGCCACCATGCCCAGCTAATTTTTGTACTGTGTGTGTGTGTGTGTGTGTGTGACGGAGCTTCGCTCTTCTTACCCAGAATGGAGAGCAATGGCGCCATCTCGGCTTAATGCAGCCTCCGCCTCCTGGGTTTAAGCAATTCTCTTGCCTCAGCCTCCAGAGTAGCTGGGACTACAGGCACAGGCCAGCATTCCCAGGTAATTTTTTTATTTTTTATTTTTTTAGACGGAGTTTCCCTCTTGTTACCCAGGTTGGAGTGCAATGGCGCAATCTGGGCTCACTGCAACCTCCGCCTCCTGGGTTCAAGCAATTCTCTTGCCTCAGCCTCCTGAGTAGCTGGGACTACAGGCGCACGTCACCACACACACCTAATTTTTTTTTTTTTTTTTTGAGACATAGTTTGGCTCTTGTTACCCAGGCTGGAGTGCAATGGCGCGATCTCGGCTCACTGCAACCTCTGCCTCCTGGGTTGAAGCAATTCTCTTACCTCAGCCTCCCAAGTAGCTCAGACTACACGTGCGCGCCACCATGCCCAGGTAAGTTTTGTAGTTGTTTTTCATTATTTTTAGACGGAGTTTCTTTCTTTTTGCCCAGGCTGGAGTGCAGTGGCAGGATCTCGGCTCACGGCAACCTCCACCTGCTGTGTTCAAGCAATTGTCTTGCCTCAGCCTCCTGAGTAGCTGGGACTACAGGCGACTGCCACCATGCCCAGCTAATTTTTGTTGTTTTTTTTTTTCTTTTGAGACAGAGTTCCACTCTTGTTACCCAGGCTGGAGTGCAATGGCTTGATCTCCGCTCACTGAAACTTCCGCCTCCTGGGTTCAAGCAATTTCCTTGCCTCAGCCTCCCGAGTAGCTGGGACTACAGGCGCAGGCCACCAGGCCCAGGTAATTTTTGTATTTTTTATTTTTTTGAGATGGAGTTTTGCTCCTGTTACCCAGGCTGGAGTGCAATGGTGCGATCTCGGCTCACGGCATTCGCTTCCCGGGTTCAAGCAATTCTCTTGCCTCAGCCTCCCGAAGTAGCTGGGACTAGAGGCGTGCACCACCATGCCCAGCTAATTTTTGTACTTTTTTTTTTTTGAGACAGAGTTTCGCTCTTGTTACCCAGGCTGGAGTGCAATGGGGCGATCTCGGCTCACCGCAACCTCTGCCTCCTCGGTTCAAGCAATTCTCTTGCCTCAGCCTCCAGAGTAGCTGGGACTACAGGCGCGCACCTCAATGCCCAGCTATTTTTTATTTATTTATTTATTTTTGAGAGGGAGTTTCGCTCTCGTTACTCAGGCTGGAGTGCAATGGTGGGATCTTGGCTCACCGCAATTTCCGCCTCCTGGGTTCAAGGAATTCTCTTGCCTCAGTCCCCCGAGTAGCTGGGACTACAGGCGCACGCCACCATGCCCGGCGACTTTTTCTATTTTTTTTTTTTTTTTTTTTTTTTTTTGAGAGGGAGTTTTGCTCTTGTTACCCAGGCTGGAATGCAATGGAGCGATCTTGGCTCTCTGCAACTTCAGCTTCCTGGGTTCAAGCAGTTCTCTTGCCTCAGCCTTCTGAGTAGCTGGGACTAAAGGTGCACACCAACATGCCCAGCTAATTTTCGTACTTTTTTATTTTTTTTTTGAGATGGATTTTCACTCTTGGTACCCAGACTGGAGTGCAATGGCGCAATCTTGGCTAACCTCCGCCTCCTGGGTTCACAAAGTTGTCTTGCCTCAGCCTCCCGAGTCGCTGGGACGACAGGCATGTGCCACTATGCCCAGCTAATTTTTGTACCTTTTTTTTTTTTGAGATGGAATTTTGCTCTTGTTACCCAGGCTGGAGTGCAATGGTGCGATCTCGGCTCACCGCAACCTTTACCTCCTGGGTTTAAGTAATTCTTCTTCCTCAGCCTCCCGAGTAGCTGGGACTACAGGCGCGTGCCACCATGCCCAGCTAATTTTTGTATTTTTAGTAGAGATGGGGTTTCACCCTATTTACCAGGATGGTCTCGAACTCTTCACCTCGTTTCCACCCACCCCGGCCTCCCAAAGTTCTGGGATTACAGGCGTGAGCCACCATGCCCTTCTTCTGGATGATTCTTGAGAAGCACTGCTGGAAAACAGTAATGTTAGAGTGTTCTTTTATTTTTATTTATTTATTTATTTATTTTTTGAGACAGAGTTTCGCTCTTGTTACCCAGGCTGGGGTGCAATGGCCCGATATCGACTCACCGCAACCTCCACCTCCTGGGTTCAGGCAGTTCTCCTGCCTCACCCTCCTGAGTAGCTGGTATTACAGGCACGTGCCACCATGCCCAGCTAATTTTTTTAAATTTTAGTAGAGACAGGGTTTCGCCATGTTGACCAGGATGGTCTTGATCTCTTGACCTTGTGATCCACCCACCTCAGCCTCCCAAAGTGCTGGGATTACAGGCTTGAGCCACTGCACCCGGCAGTAGATATAATCTAAACTTTCTGGCTGGGTGTGGTGGCTCACACCTATAATCTCAGCACTTAGAGAGGCTGAGGTGGGCAGATCGCATAATGCCAGGAGTTCAAGACCAGCCTGACCAACATGGAGAAACCCTATCTCTACTAACTATACAAAAAAAAAAAAAAAAAAAAAAAAAAAAAAAAAAAAGCTGGGTGTGGTGGTGTGTGCCTGTAGTTCCAGCTATGTGGGAGGCTGAGGCACAAGAATTGCTTGAATCCAGGAGGCAGAGGTTGCTGAGATAGCACCACTGCACTCCAGCCTGGGCAACAGTGAGACTCTATCTCAAAAAAATAAAGATAAAAATAAAAAATAAACTTTCTGAGCCTCAGATCCTCATCTGTAAAGTGAGGAATAATAATACCTGTGTTAGGAGATTGTCGTGACATTGACCTATATCCATTAATGGTAACTGTTATGATGGTGATGATGAACAACAGCAGAAAACTGTAAACTACGTTTAAAGCATTTGGGGAAAAATATAATGAAAGAGGGACACAAAAAGATTCTAGATAACACATTCTGCCTTTCCAAAATGAATGCTACTGAGCAATAAAGTACCAACCAATATTGTAGTAAAGGACTGTGTTTATATAAGGGAAAAATCACTTCCAATTTCAATGGTTTGAGGTAGGAAGTACTGGGAAAAGTAAAAATTCTAGAGTCAGTCTTAGCTTTGCCTCTCACTCTCTGACCTTGGGTAATATCCCTGTGTCCTCAGCATCCTAGTCTATAGACAATCTGAGGCTGGGTGTGATGGCTCATGCCTGTAATCCCAGCACTTTGTAAGGCTGAGACGGGTGGATCACAAGGTCAGGAGTTCGAGACCAGCCTGACCAACATGGTAAAACTCCGTCTCTATTAAAAATACAAAAATTAGTTGGGCTTGATGGCATGTGCCTGTAATCCCAGTAATCAGGGGGCTGAGGCAGGAGAATCGCTTGAACCCAGGAGGCAGAGGTGGCAGTGAGCCGAGATCATGCCACTGCACTCCAGCCTGGGCAACAGAACAAGACTCTGTCTAAAAAATAAAGAAAGAAAAGAAAAGAAAAAGAAAATCTGAAGGGTTGTTGTATTCATTCAATAAGGAAAATGCTTAGGTTGTGACTGGGGAAGAGGAAGTATTTAGGTTTCCACCCTTTCCTTACTGCTACCCTGACCAGGCACCCAACCTTGCAATAAAGCTAGTCAGAGCTTCATTCAGTGAACTGCAGAGCTTTGGGCAATCCCAGACATGCTCATGAAGACTAAGGAGCATGTGGCCCCTGCAGAAAGACTGAAGTTACCTGTACAGCATCAAAGCTGCAATCACCACCAAAATCAGCAGAATACTGAGGAGTCCACCAATGGCGTAGCTGATATGAAGTCCTTCTCCTAGGAAGAATACAGAAACAGTAGGCAGGAGCCACTTACAATCTTCTAGCTGGTGCTGGTGTGAGGAATGGAAAGTGAAGGGTTTCTTTTGTGGTGTTGGATCCAACACCATCTGGTGATGGCTAGGGGCCTCCTTTTCAGAGAGGTGAATGACAGGTGCAGGGAGGAGACTGAGAAGGAATCTATCACTCTTCCAGCATCTCTGATCCCATTTCCACCACTTCCTAGATATCTGACATAAGGCAAGATGCTTAACTATTAAGCCTACATTTTCTCTTTAGTTAAATGTAAATAATAAATTGCTCATAGGACTGGAGATGCACAAGAGTATGTATATATACATGTACACACACATATGTGTGGCATATATATGGCTTATCACATGCCTGAAATATGGAAAGCATACCATAAGCTGTCACTGTAAGTGGTGAGAGCTATTATGATTATTATTTCTATGGATTTTAGTTTAAAAAGAGTTAACCGGCCAGGTGGCTCACGCCTGCAATCCTAGCACTCTGGGAGCTGAGGTCGGTGGATCATGAGGTCAAGAAATCAAGACCATCCTGGCCAACATGGTGAAACCCTATCTCTACTAAAAATACAAAAAAATTAGCTGGGCGTGGTGGCGCACACCTGTAGTCCCAGCTACTTGGGAGGCTGAGGCAGGAGAATTGCTTGAACCCAGGAGGCAGAGACTGTAGTGAGCCAAGATTGTGCCACTGCACTACAGACTGGACGACAGTGCCAGGCTCTGTCTCAAAAAAAAAAAAAAAAGTTAATCAACTCCAAAGAGTCCCAACAAAGGTTATGAAAGATGTCAGTGGAGACCTGGCGTGGTGGCTCACACCTGTAATCCAAGAACTTTGGAGGCCAAGGCGGGTGGATCACCTGAGGTCAGGAGCTCAAGACCAGCCTGACCAACAAACATGATGAAACCCTGTCTTAAAAATAATAATAAATAAATAAATAAAAAGGAAAGATGTCAGTGGAGACTTAGATTCATTACATCTTCTTTTCCAGAACAGAGAGGCACTCAGGGCTTACCTGGAGCAGCAGGTACAGCCTCATTGGAACTTGCACAGAGGCCCAGCCTGGAATCCCTTTCAGAGCATCTGTGGGGCACAGAAGACTGAATGTGAAGCCTACCCATACACAGTGAAGATCACACCTTCCTCCAGGAAAAGGGGAAAGACCTGTAAGCGGGGGCTTTCAGGTATGAGAATGTACCAGATGAAAGATACCAGAAGCATGGAGAGGGCAACAGCAGGAAATGGAGAGAAATCAGTGCAAGGCACTGTTTTCAAGCTGTTATACCATATTTAAATGTGTTATAAAATATGTACCTTTTTTTGGATCACCTCTGGGAAAACAAACAAAATATCTATATATATATATATATATATATATACCTTTAAAAATGAGAAGCAGCTTTGGAGCAAGTTGGAAGTCTGCAGAAAGAATACTAAAGACATCAATATTAGGTTTTCTTTTTTTTTTTTTTTGAGACGGAGTTTCGCTCTTGTCACCCAGGCTAGAGCACAATGGCATGATCTTGGCTCACGGCAACCTCCACCTCCTGGTTTCAGGCAATTCTCCTGCCTCAGCCTCCCGAGTAGCTGGGACTACAGGCACGCACCACTGTGCCCAGCTAATTTTTTGTATTTTTAGTAGAGACGGGGTTTTACCATGTTGACCAGGATGGTCTCGATCTCTTGACCTCGTGATCCACCCGCCTCAGCCTCCCAAAGTGCTGGGATTACAGGCGTGACCCACCACGCCTGGCCCTAGGCTTTCTTGAACTACCAGGATGAGTCAGAAGAAGCTGCTAGCCAAACCAGTCTGTTGGGGTAAAAATTATCACAAGAGCTAAATATCTCAAGGTTAAAAAATTGTTTTTCTTCTCTTCATTATTTCACAAGGGAATATGCAAGACATCCAGAGGGAATGCTCAGATAACTAACTGGAAATGTTCGGCAGGTGACTTGTTTATGGTACATTATGAGCAGGCAGTTAAAGGCATCACCTAAACAGTCAGAGAAAAGCTACTTGAAAGAGCATATGGAACCAAGATGCACTGAATTTTCAAAGAGAACTCTGACAATAAGAAAAGGTCCAAGCAGGGGTCAAAAGTTTTCTTTATTTTTTTGGAGACGGAGTCTCGCTCTGTCACCCAGGCTAGAGTGCAATGGAGCAGACTTGGCTCACTGCAACCTCTGCCTCCTGGGTTCAAGCAATTCTCCTGCCTCAGCCTCCTGAGTAACTGGGACTACAGGTGCCTACCATCATGCCTGGCTAATTTTTGTATTTTTAGTAGAGACAGGATTTCACCATGTTGGTCAGGCTGGTCTCAAACTCCTGACCACGTGATCCATCCACCTCAGCCTCCCAAAGTGCTGGGATTAAAGGCGTGAGCCACTGCATCTGGCCTGGGTCAGACGTTTTATAAATATACCTAAAGAAAATCAGAGAGTAATGATGACTGATAGTACTTAAAGGTTAGTGAGGCCAGGTGCAGTGGCTCACACCTGTAATCCCACCATGTTGGGAGGCTGAGGCGGGCAAATTATGAGGTCAGGAGTTTGAGACCAACCTGACCATCATGGTGAAATGCTGCCTCTACTAAGATTACAAATGTTAGCCAGGCATGGTGGCGAGCACCTATAATCCCAGCTACTCGGGAGGCTGAGGCAGGAGAATTGCTTGAACCTGAGAGGTGGAGGTTGTAGTGAGTCGAGGTGGAGGTTGTAGTGAGTCGAGATGGCGCCACTGCACTCCAGCCTGGGTGACGGAGATTCATCTCAAGAAAAAAAAAAGTTAGTGAGAAAGGCACATGTTTGTACCTGGTTTATACCTGGATGTTTCCTTTTCTTTACAAATTGTAGTAAAAACAGAGAATGAGGGCACACAGTGTATAAATTTGATCATGCGCAAATCTTGTAACTTTAGGGACATTGAGTCTAAAGTTTTTATTTGGGATTATTAAGTTTCTGCTTTCAGAATTGAAATCAAATGTTAACTGCTTTGTAAGCTACTGGTATTAAAAATAAAGAGACCAGTATGTGAAGTGGAAAAAAAAAACTGTTCTAATTAGAAAAATGTCTAGAAAAAATAGACATGAAAACATTAAGAGTAAATTATATTTTTTATTCACTTTTTCTTTATTCACATCTGTATTTCCAGATTACTCATTTATTTATTTTTGGAGACAAGGTCTCAGTGTGTCACCCAAGCTGGAGTGCAGTGGCACAATCACAATTCACTGCAGCCTAAAACTCCTGGGGTCAAGCAATCCTCCCATCTCAGCCTCCCAAGTAGCAGAGACTACAGGCATTTGCCACCATGCCAGCTAATTTAAAAGAAATCTTTTTTGTAGAGACAGGATCTCACCATGTTGCCCAGGCTTGTCTTGAACTCCTCCCCTCATGTGATCTGACTACCGTGGACTCCCAAAGTGCTAGGATTATAGGCATGAGCCACCACACCCAGCCCAGATTATTTTTTATGAAGTGTAAATGAAAAACATAGTTATTAGAATTTTTTGCCAGATGCAGTGTCTCACATCTGTAATGACAGCACTTTGGGATGCCTAGGCAGGTGGATCGCTTGAGCCCAGAGGTTTGAGACCAGCCTGGGCAACATGGCAAAGCCCCATCTCTACAAAGAGTACAAAAAAATTAGCCAGCTATGGTGGCACCTGTAGTTCAGCTACCTGGGAGGTTGAAATAGGAGGATCACCTGAGCCCAGGAGGTGGAGGCTGCAGTGAGCTTGAGCTGTGTTCATGCTCTGCACTCCAGCCTGGGTGACAGAGTGAGACCCTGTCTTAAAAAAAGAAAAAAAAGAAAAGAAAAAGAATTTCTCTAAATTGAATGTAACATCATATTTATTTTAAAATGTGTTTTTTCTATGGTCTACCATCCCTGAAACAGGAATGTGACTTACAAATTAATAGCATTTCAGCCAGGCAGGGTGGCTCACACTTGTAATGCCAGCACTTTGGGAGGCCGAGGTGGGTAGATCACAAGGTCAGGAGTTCAAGACCAGCCTGGCCAACACAGTGAAACCCCATCTCTACTAAAAATGTAAAAATAAGCTGGGCATGGTGGCGGGCACCTATAATCCCAGCTATTTGGGAGGCTGATGCATGAGAATCGCCTGTACCCAGGAGGTAGAAGTTACAGTGAGCCAAGATCATGCCACTGCACTCCAGCCTGGGCAACAAAGCAAGACTTGGTCTAAAAAAAAAAAAAATAGCATTTCACACACATTTGCTGTTGGTTATCTTTTCAGTTTCATTTCTCAAATCAGGATGCATTTTATAATGGATAGCACCCTTAAATTAATGAAATAAGATACTTTATACTTGATTTGAGAATTGTTCATGGTTATACCTACTTATTTAATAATGGTGTTTGTGTGTAGGGGATGCATGTGTCATTACAAGCTAAAGCCATCATATCTGGGGAAATCTACCTTTTTGTTCCAAGTCATAAAGCCACAGCCCAGAGACTACTCTTAGACAAGACAATGATGTGAGAGCAAATGTCACAGAGAGAGAAGGAAGGAAGAATGCCATGTGGGAGGGTCCTCCTAAGTGATTTCTGTTTCAAGCTGTTCTTAAAGCTTTTTGCCCTCAGAGCTAAAAAGGGAATTGCCTGCAACAATCTACAAGTCTGAATATCATCTTTTGTCCCAAATAGCAGGGACTGGTAGCTCATGACATAATCTACCTCCCAACTGCCTTATTAAGATGGGACTATGAGCTACTGGTCATGGGACGGTGATTTGAATGAAAGGGCCCACAATGTTATATTGAACCTATTTACCTTCCTTCCAGCTCCTCCAGAGACGTGCGGGTCCAGGTGGTCGAGGAATGCAAGGTGGCAGGTAGTATGCTGGGTAGCACCCGGCTCTTTTCGCTCATGCTAGTGGCCCTAGGAGCTGGTGGTACTAGGCCAGGCACTAGACGAAAAAGAGGATTGGAGTGGGCCGCTGGAACTACAAACCTCTATGTATGGCCCAAGAGTAGCTGGAGAACTTGACAAAACAATCTTTTAGCTGCCCTAGTCCCAGGCACCTTCGTTAGTGGCCCTTCTTAATACTATAAATAAAAAGGAGGTGGATTCAATATTAATAGCTCTGGATGGGACAGCTGGCCCACCAAAGTCAGGAAGAGAGAGTGATGTACAGGCCACTGATTATCCCACAGCAGGGACCTGGGAATCAAGAGACCTGAATTCTGTTCTAGCAAATGCCCGAGGGCAGACAAACTCAGGTTAGAGCAACTCCCAAAACCCAAGCAGATTGCTACCAGTCACTCTACTAATAAAACCTTCTTTATGGGGATCCCACCCAGAAGGACAGATCAGACCAGGATTGGAGGCTGCTGACCCTCAGCCCTTCCAGGGGCTCTGCTGAGTGGCTCCAGCCCATTCAGTCCAACTCACCAAGGGAGCAGGGCCGGCTATTGGGTTCATCAGGACAAGCACATACGAAGTCTGAGGCTCTGGCAAAGCAGAGGTGGGTGCAGCCACCATTGTTCACGCCACAGGCATTGGTCCCTGGAGGCAAAGTAGATGAGTGTCTTATCTAGGACAGAATCAGGTCTCCCAGTTTAACGCTTCTCAAATACAGAGGAAAACCAGAATTTCCCTACTCCCAGGGACAGGGGAGCAGGAAAGATATAATCACAAGGGAGTAAAAAGGTCTAAGAGTTTAAAATGTGAACAAAGAAGCTCTCTTATGGGTCTGTCTTGGTACCTAACAGTCCTTGGGGTGACCAACCAATCCCACAGATGGTAAGGAAGTAGGGTCAGTACCCGGGAGCCCACCTGTCTGCTGCTGAGGGGAAACCACGATGATATCCATAAGGCCTTCCACATTCGCCAGCACTGTCTACTTGTTCCTGCCTGAGTATTTGTCTACACGCTTGATTGACTTTGTCTGCCAGTCTGTCCAGTAGATCCACCTGTCTTGCTACTCAACAGGGGAACCCAAAAAAGAGTAAATATTATTCAGCAAGCAGCCTCCTTCCTGTACAGCTTCTGTGCCTCAGCATGTGCCTTTGCCTCTGGTGAAATGCCCTCTTTCATCTCTTCCTCATCAAGTCTACTTCTGTGCATCACTAGACATGACATTGCCAAGGAAATCTCCCCAAATCCATATAGACTTCACCATTCTCTCCTCTATACAGTTCTATACCTTGTAGTCACTCGCACAAGTTCGTTTTTACACTAAAGCAATTTGTTTATAGGTCCGTCAGTACTACCAGATTACCTTCTTCAAGGACAAGAATGCGTTCTATTCATCTCTGAATTTCTAGCACCTAACAATCTTCATTCAGTTGATTGAATGGCTCCCTATCTAGCAAATAGGTGTAAATTTGAAGGTTCTTCTAGGTTCCTGTTCCTCTGGCTCTTTTACTCAGAGCGCTGCCCCAAATCCTCTGCTTGCTTCTGTGGGCAGCTTTCTTCTAATGTAACAATGGTGAAATTCTCAACCAAAAGTGTTCCCATCCCCACCCAAGGGCATATATCATAAACTCTGGGGAAATCTGTAGATTGAAAAAACTATATGCAGTATTACCCTGTAGCTTTACATTTAGGGTATGAAAAAAAGCCCATCATTAAGTAAAACCAGATAAAATCTTCTTAGCTAGTAGGACATAATACAGAATACAGACAGGGTGGATAATATTTGGCAAAAAGGGTCAAATTTATTTCTCTTTCTTTTGGTTTCTTTCTTCTTTCCTTTCTCTATGTCTCTTTCTTTCTCTGACTCTCTTCTCTCTCAGACAGCATCTTGCTCTGTTGCCCAAATTGGAGCACAGTGGTACAAATGCAGCTCACTGCAGCTCGACCTCTTGGCTCAAGCGATCCTCCTACCTCAGCCTCCTGAATAGCTGAGACTATAGGTGTGTACCACCACACCTGGCTAATTAGAATTTTTTTTGTAGAGACAGGGTCTCTCCATGTTGCCCAGGCTGGTTTCAAACTCCTGGACTCAAGTGATATTCTGGCCTCAGCCTCCCAAAGTGGTGAGATTAGAGGCATAAGCCACTGCACCTGGCCAAGATTTTTAATCAAGATTTTTAAATGACAGAGAATTCCTGTTTTTGCCTCAGGCTTGGTAGATTTTCTTTTCCTTGCCCAAATCATTTTTTGTGTTAGAACTCTCAAAAACGATAGCAAATAATAATTAAAATGGGTAGTGATAACGTGCTATGCGCCAGGTACTATGCTAATGCTTTGTCATATTTCAGGAGGATACTATTATTAGGCTGACTTATTTTGTAGGTAACTGAAGCTAAGAGAGGTTCAGTCACTTCAGTTCAAAGTTACACAGTTATTTAATACACAGATAGAACTTGAACTCAGGTACCGGGCACACTGGTGGTATTAAATACTTACCAACTGGCTAGATGCCTCAAACTCTGGCTTCTAGCCACTCCACCCTGTTGCCATTAAGTCAGCTGCCTAAGCCCAGATGCTAGGACCACAGCATTAGGATTAACTGGGGAACTTGTCAAAATGTATTTTGCTGTGCCCAGCCCTCATGAAGGCGCTTCTAGAGTCCCTATAGTCAGGGCCTAGGAACCTGCATTTTAACAAGTGCCACATCTGATTCTGTATACCACTCTTTAAGAGCCACCCTTTGAATACTAGAACATGGGAATGGTAGGATAGCAGTAGCAGGGCACTTGGTGGCCCTACCAACCTACCATGGCTTCAGGGCACAGGAAAAATCCCTACAATGAGCTTCCATAGCACACCAGTTCAGTAGCAGCTACAGCTGAGGCTACTGACTTAGAACCCCAAAGAAACATCCCAGTCAAGGAGGTTTAGTTACCTCTCTCCTGAGCCAGTACCCGTGTGAGGGCAAAGGGGTGGGACACATGGCTGACCAAGATCTGCCGCAGTTTCCCATTGAGGTCAGCACTCTCGATCCGGTCCAGATGCGCATCTACCCAGTAGATCCTGCAAAGAAAACGAGGAGGGTAGCTGCTCCAAATGCTTGCCAGGGAGCCCAGCTCTTCCCCCTAAGAACCTATCTGTCCCCTCCTGAGCTGAACTGGCAGGTGCTATGAGAACTCAAGAAGCATCCTTGATGAGGGGTCATAGTGAGTCCCAAAGCTGAAGAGGGGAGCTGGTGGTTCATGAGTGGGGAGGCCAGGGCTGCTCTTGGGAGGGGTGGAAAGTCTAGTGACCTCAGAGGAACCACCACCCAGCCTCATCTTCAGGAACTTGATTGCTCTTTGACTCCTACCCAAGAATCAAATCCCAAATTCTTAGAAATGGTCTTTAAGAAGAGAGCTCAGTTGGCTGGGCATGGCGGCTCATGCCTGTAATGCCAACACTTTGGGAGGCTGAGGTGGGCGGATCACTTGAGGTCAGGAGTTCAAGACCAGCCTGGCCAATATGGTGAAACCCTGTCTCTGCTAAAAATTAGCCAGGCATGGTGATACATGCCTGTAATCCCAGCTACTCGGGAGGCTGCGGCATGAGAATTGCTTGGACCTAGGAGGCAGAGGTTGCAGTGAACCGAGATGGTGCCACAGCACTCCAGCCTGGGCAACAGAGTGAAACTTCATCTGTTCCCCCCTCCCCCCCAAAAAAGGAAGTGAGCTCAGTCTACGTGGACCTCACTGAGGTTAAAAGAAGGCATTCTACCATCTTTCCAGAAGCCTTAGATTCCCTTCCCCTTCTTCTGGGCCAAAAGGGGGCACAGACTGCTTCAGAACCCCTTTCCCCCCACCCTGAGCATTTCTTATCTAGATAAGGAGCTGTATATTCTGGAGCCTGGGTCAGGCATGGTGGCTCATGCCTGAAATCCCAGCACTTTGGGAAGCCAAGGCAGTAGGATTGCTGGAGTCCAGGAATTCGAGATCAGCCTAGGCAACATAGCAAGACGCTGTCTTTACTAAAAATTTAAAAATTAGCTGGGCATGGTGGTATGTGCCTATAGTCCCAGCTACTTGAGAGGCTGAGGTAAGAGGATTGCTTGAGCCAGGGAGGTTTAGGCTGCAGAGAGCTGTGATCGCACCATTGAACTCCAGCCTGGGCAACAGAGCAAGATGCTGTCTCAACAACAACAAAGTTCCAGAGCCTGAAAGGATCAAGATTTGTTATATTATAACAAATCTAAGAATCAGCCCTGGCGGGGTGCAGTGGCTCACACCTATAATCCCAGCACTTTGGGAGGCCAAGGCGGGTGGATCACAAGGTCAAGATCGAGACCATCCTGGTCAACAAGGTGAAACACCGTCTCTACTAAAAATACAAAAAAAAATTAGCTGGGCATGGTGATGCACGCCTGAAGTCCCAGCTACTCAGGAGGCTGAGGCAGGAGAATTGCTTGAACCCAGGAGGCGGAGGTTGCAGTGAGCTGGGATCGTGCCATGGCACTCCAGCCTGGGTAACAAGAGCAAAAACTCCATCTCAAAAAAAAAAAAAGAATCAGCCCTTAAATGAGTAGGGGTGTAGGACCTGTGGTTCAGCTGGAAGACATGCTCTGCCAAAGGCACTCAAATTAGGAACAAGTAAACCAGCCAAACAAAACCCACCTAAGGGCTGAGAGCTGGATTTAGCAATCCCTGCTCTAAGAATACATTCCCTCATCCTTCTCAATGCTTCCTCTTCCCGACATACCAAGGAGCTTTCTATCTTTTCATTTTTCCCAATTTAATCTCAACCGTCCTCTCCTCTGCCCACCCAATTTCCAGGAGGTTATTTGGTACAGGACTCCCACCTGCGGGTATCAAAGTCCAGGGTATGGCCATTGGGCCAACCCAGGTCTGTGTTGATGTGGACCTTCTGCTCAGAACCATCCAGGTTTGCCCGTTCAATCTTGGCAATGTGGACCCAGTCTGTCCAGAAGAGGTACCTGAGACACAACAGTGCTGTCATCATCAAAGCATGGGAAGATGGCACCCAGAGGCTGACAGAACATGGAGGACTCACTAACACCATCTTTTCCACCCGCCCTTCTTCCCTGGATCTCTCTTCTGCTGGCCATAAACTTACCCCTTCCTGGGGAAAACAGCAATGGCCCGGGGCTCATCCAGGCTGTGGATGATTAGCACTTTGCGGCAGGAACCATCCAGCCTGGATGCCCCAATGGTGTTGTGACCTGTGTCTATCCAGTACAGGTTCCTGGCCACCCAGTCCACTGTCAGCTTGTCAGTGGTCTTCAGCCCATGCCCGATCACTGTCTCCATGTTGCTGCCATTCAGGTCTGCTTGCCGGGGGGAGCGCCCAGTGTTGGATGAGCAACCAGACTGACCCAGAATAGAGTAGAACTCCTTTAACCCGTATTCCCATAACTGGACCCCTACTAAATGTAAGCTCCACAGGGATGGAGATCAAGTATCTATGAGTACATTCCTCAGCACCCAGCATGACAGATGCTCAATGAAATAATTGCAGAATGAACAAACGAGTTCTTAGGAGGACAGTCTTTCCTGCTAACTGAAAATAATGGCAGCTGCCAGGGGATGCCTTGCTACAAGACAGGTATATCATCCCCACATATTTTTGAAAAGAGACAAGGATTGCTAGAAGAAACACAGATTTGTCAAAACCTACCTGTGCATTTTTTAAAAATTAAAAACAAATTTAAATACAAATAGATACGAGGTTTCACTGTGCTGCCTGGGCTGGTCTTGAACTCCTGGGCTCAAGCAATTCTCCCATCTTGACCTCCCAACGTGCTGGGATTACAGGCGTGAGCCACCATGCCTGGCCTTACCTGTGCACTTTTGCAGAGGCCCTAAAGCAGGAGGGAACTCTACCTCAGAATGGGGAGCATGTCACTGTCGCCTAGGGAACTTCATTAAACTGCATATGCTTACCTGTCCCCAGCTTGAGATTCTAATACATCCCTTGGGGAGAAGAAAGGGGAATGTTCCCTGTTCCTCCTTGTGAGAAAATCTGCCATGGTAAACCACTCTTACTGGTGGCAGGGCATCATATTCCTAAGGTGCATTAGGGCCGAAAATTTAAAGAATTTAAAAAAATAGATAAAATAAAAATAAAAAACAACTTTGTAGACCACCATTAAGCCTAGACATTTGGGCATGACTTCATTACTGCAATACAGATACTGGTTACGTGGCCTACTCTTCAGTAAGTCCCAAGGGACAATAGTAGGTGCGAAAGGATCTACGTCCCCACCCTGACTTTACTTGTTTTTTTTTTTTGTTGTTGTTGTTGTTGTTTGTTTTACATACTAGACTTCTGTGTAATCTCTAAACAAACACTTTGAAATTCTGCTCTAAATGACAACACTGCAAAGTGAGCAAGTCAGGATTAGAACTCACTATCCAAAGTGCCAAATCACTCGTCCACTTAGCGGTCAGAACATAACCTCACTCGTGAGCAATCAGAACAAGTCTGTGTCCTCTAGAGGTTTCAGTGTCGCTCATACCTGATAACATCCAGGAACACATCTGTATAATAGACCTTTCCGTCCACACTGTCATAGTCTAGGGAGATGACATTGTTGAGCTCAGGAACAGGGACATGCACATCTGTGTTGTCACTGGTGTCCAGTGAGATACGCCGGATGAAGCCACGGCTGGAGAAGAGCAGGTAGGTCTCAGGAGAGGGATCACAGGTCTTCCCATCTCCCTTCAGCTGGATGCCAGTGGGGCAGGCACAGAAGAAGCCAGAAGGTCGAGGCAAGCACAGATGGGAGCAGCCACCATTCCTTGAGCCGCACTTGTTAAAACCTGGTGATGAGAAGCACAGGTGTTCACACCTAGCCTGGAACATCATCTGAATCGTACAAAGGTCCCGGTTGCTTGTGGCTGACTCTTTGATGTTTTAAGTGATGGGATTCAGTGCCTGGCAGGGCGAGGTAGAAGGAGCGTCTGCAGGGGGATCTCCAGGAGTCCTTTGAATGTGACAACATCATGCAGCTGTAGCACCAGCCATCCCCCAAGAGAACATAGCCCAATCTTGGAACGGAGTTTAGGCAGGTCACCATCTTTCTGGCTATAAACAAGTTCTGTGCTCTGGATATGCCTCTGATGTTGAGATGGCCCCAGAAAGCCAGAAGCTCTGACTCACAGCCCCAGGGTCCTTCTCACCTAGTGGCTGTGTCCAGTCCACAGCCTGGATGTCCATGAGGCCTGGAAGGTTGGACCTCACAAGGATGACATTGCTGCCGGTACCCTTGTCGGCACGGTGGATGCTCCTGGTCTGCCAGTCAGTCCAGTAGATATAGGAGTTGAGCAGGGTGAGGCCATATGGGTGCTGCACTGGTGATACCAACATATGCCGATTGGCACCATTCAGGTCAGCAGCCTTGATTCACTGCAGAGGAAAGAGAGGGTTGGGAGTGGTCATCAGCAGACTGAGAACTCTCTGTGGAGATCCTAGGCAGGCCTTTCCCATCTTCCCAGGTTCCTAGGAAGCAGCAGGGGCATGGCTCTCACCTCAGTGTGTGCATCGGCCCATAGCAGTTGGGAGTTGGCCTTGTCCACGGTCAGTCCATTGGGCCATCCTAGGTTGTTGTTGATGAGCACCGTGCGGTCTGAGCCATCCATTCCAGACCGCTCTAACTTGGCATTGTCCCCCCAGTCTGTCCAGTACATACACCTGGGTGAGAAAGAATAAAAGCTATATTAGCTAGTTATTCCAGCAGCTACCGTATACCATGAGTACTTAACAGTATGTCAGATATATTTGAGTACTTAGAGTATGTCAGGCAAAATTTTTGCTTGACAAAATACTCTGCTAAATACTTCACGTGCATTATCTCACTTGATCCTCATAAGGGCCACAAGGTATGTATTCTCACTACCACCTCCATTTTATGAAATAGGTAAGGAAGCCGAGAATCAGAAAGCTTAAATACTGGACCCAAGTGATATAGCTAATACGTGATGAAAACATTTCAATCCTGGTACTCTGATTCCAAGGCTCATGCTTTTAACTTCTACACTGTACTGTCACCCTGCAAGAAGTGACGAGGGAGTGGAAGAGCCCCAGGGAGGTCACGTTGTTCCTGTGATGCAAGCTTGCTCTCCATTGCCCACCTCCACCCCATCATAACCCCAACTGAGCTGCCCCCTCCACGACTCTCACTCCATCTCATGGTACAGTACGATGACCCGGGGACTGTCAAGGTTCTGCCACACCAACACTTTTCGCATGGACCCGTCCAGGTTGCCCACTTCAATCCGGTTTGTTCCCGTGTCTGTCCAGTACACTTTCCGGCCAATGGCATCCACCACAAGCCCATCTGTGGTCTGTAGCCCTGTGGGAAGTCAAAAGAGCACACCAGATCCTACTCTGAAACAGATGGCCTATTTCCCCAGCCCTGTTGCCAGACAGGTGGTCCCTGGGCTGGGAGGAAGGCCCACCTGTGGTGATGATGTCCTCGTGCTGTGAGCCATCCAGACTGGCACAGCTGATCCTGTGCAGGGTGCTGTCAGACCAGTACACTTTTCCTGGAGAGGGAAAGCTTGGTTCAACCTAGACCCTCACCCCCTACCATGGGACACACATAGCTGATTTGTGTCCTGAAACGCCAGAGCATGTCAGAGAGCCCTGGAGCCTCTAACAGAGGAAATCAAGGAAAATGCAGAAATATCATAGCAGGATAGTTCTTGGCAGAGCTGGAGCGAAGAGGGCCCCAAACCACGCTCTCACAACCAAAGAGAAACTGCTAGAGAGACAAGGACAGGGGCTATGACAGAGGGAATGGGGAGCCTCCCGGCTCCTGGCACAGGACAAAGGTGATGGGATAGGAAGGACAGTAGTTGCTGAAGGGCAGGGACAGAAGACCAGGTGGGAAGGGAGGCCACACAGACCTTCCTGAGGATCTACTCCAATCACAATAGTGTTCTTCATGGTAATGTTCATTGGTACCACCACATCAGCAAAATAAGGGATGTCCAGGGAGACCATGCGAATGTCTATCCTCCTGGCAAAGATGAGGAAACTGTTCATGCCTACCTAGGTGGAAAGGAGGAAAGAGGGTCACTCTAGCACAGCCATTAAGTGGATTTGGAATCAGGCAAACTGAAACTCATGCCGTCGCTGCCAGTTTCTAGCTATATTATTCGAGGCAAATTATTTAAATTGTTTTTTTTTTAATTTTATATATTTATTATTTTTTTTTTTTGAGACAGACTCTTACTCTGTCGCCCAAGCTGGAGTGCAATGGCACGATTTCGGCTCACTGCAACCTCCGCCTCCTGGGTTCTTGTACTTCTTCTGCCTCAGCCTCCCGAGTAGCTGGGACTACAGGTTCTCGCTGCCACAGCTGGCTAAGTTTTTGTATTTTAGTAGAGACGGGGTTTCACTGTATTGCCCAGTCTGGTCTCGAACTCCTGACCTCAGGCAATCCGCCTGCCTCTGCCTCCCAAAGTGCTAGGATTACAGGCGTGAGCCTATTTTTATTTTTTTGAGATGAAGTTTCACTCTTGTTGCCCAGACTGGAGTGCAATGGTGCGATCTTGGCTCACCAAAACCTCTGCTTCCCGGGTTCAAGCGATTCTCCGGTCTCAGCCTCCCGAGTAGCTGGGATTACAGGCATGCGCCACCACACCCAGCTAATTTTGTATTTTTAGTAGAGACGGGGTTTCTTCATGTTGCTCAGGCTAGTCTCGAACTCCCAACCTCAGGAGATCCACCCGCCTTGGCCTTCCAAAGTGCTGGGATTACAAGTGTGAGCCACTGCGCCCAGCTAAATTATTTTTTCAGACAGGGTCTCTCTGTGTCACCCAGGCTGTAGTGTGGTGGGATGATCATGGTTTACTGCATCCTCGACCTCCTAAGCTAAAGCGATCCTCCCACCTCAGCCCCCTGAGTAGCTGGAACTACAGGCACATGCTACCATGCCCAGCTAATTTTTGTATTTTCTGTAGAGATGGCATTTTGTCACATTGCCCAGGCTGGTCTTGAACTCCTGGCCTCCCAAACTGCTGGCATTACAGGTGTGAGCCACCACTCTCAGCCTAAATTTTAAGCCTCAGTTTTCTTATCTATAAAATGGGAAAAATAATAGGGTGGCTTATAAGGGTTAAAAGAGATCATGTACGTAAAGTACTTACCATTAGATCTCACAAATATTCATATTAATGCCTCTTTATTAATATTAAGAAAGTGGCTCTCTTTGAAGGACCCTTTACCATGAAGATTAAGAAATAGGAAAAAGAAAGGGAATAAAGGGACCCCAGAAGGCTGTACTAACAACCTGGGAGGCACAGTTCACAGCTCCTTTCTCACTCAAATTCCAAGGGAGGTTAGAGTTCAAATGCAGCCTACCAAGGTTTCTCCTAGGGAGAAATCTTGACTTCCAACATCTGGGTAACCAGGTCCTGCTTCTGGGACCCTCCGATAAGGTTGTTACATAGTTTGTGCACTCAAAAAAGTGGCACATTTAAGGGGAGGGTACTGTGATGTTGTAGATATCACACACTTTGGTCTTTATTATACCAATTTGGGGCAATTAGAAGTGTCTTTTTTTTTTTTTTTTCAGACAGAGTCTCACTCTGTCACCTAGGCTGGAGTTCAGTGGCACGATTTCGGCTCACTGCAACCTCCGTCTCCTAGGTTCAAGAGATTCTCCTGCCTCAGCCTCCCGAGTAGCTGAGATTACAGGCACGCGCCACCATCCCTAGCTAATTTTTGTATTTTTAGTAGAGACAGGGTTTTTCCACGTTGGCCAGGTTGGTCTCAAACTCCTGACCTCAAGTCATCTGCTCGCCTTGGCCTACCAAAGTGCTGGGATTAGAGAAGTGAGTCACTGAGCACAACCAAAAGTGTCTTATTCCAACCAAATCAGTATATTATGACAATGTACTAACAGATGAAAGTGTTTTCAGAAAGGAGCATCTTTCTCTAATATGCATGAAGACACCATAAGAACTAGTTGGACCCTGCCTCCAGTCCTTTCTACCTGCTCCCCAGGGCCTCTCCCCAGGACTTCTCCCCAGGCCCCTCCCCTTTTCTAAAAGCTCTGAGTCTTGCCCCTAGGCCTCTAGAAGCAGCAGGACTCATTGTTTCTCAGACCACACTGGAGTCCACCTGCAGGGAAGGAAGACAGCCGTTGCCCCCTCCTAGAGAGGCTGCATCTACATCTGTGATGCTTTGACTCACCTCGTGAACAGGTCTTGCCATCAGACAGCAGGTTGATGCCTGTGGGGCAGGTACAGCTGAAGCCGCTAAGATTTGGGGACCTAAGACACAGGTGGCTACAGCATTCTCCATAGCACATGATGTAGACACTGGGTAGAGAGGAGGGGGCATTCAATGGGGAGGGCTAGGGCATAGGAGGGCCAAAGAGAAGCCAATTCAAGCCAAGGGCTGCTCACCTGGGGGCCACCGGCGGTGGAAGACATGGATGTCCATCAGGTTCTCCAGGTTCTCCTGCAGAGTTTCCCGGTCCAGTCCTGTTAGCCGGTCAGCGCTCTGTATACCTTTGGTCTGCCAGTCAGTCCAATAGATGCACTCTCCAGAGAGGGTCAGCCCAAATGGATGGGGGAGCTGGCTTCCGATCAGCACCTGCCAGGGCCCTGACACTGTGTCATCTTCAACAAAGTCTGACAGTATGGAGCAGTGGTAAAGAGCTCACTGTGGACTCAGAAAGTAGCTCTACCTCTAATACCTACTGTGTGACCTCCACTAAGAGCTACTTATAAAATTTCTCTAAGCCTTGCTCTAACCATCTGTGATTTGACCGTGCCTGGTTCTAAGGGTCGCGTGATGGTTTTACTGGAAGATGTTGGAAGTCATCTGTTACTCACATCATCTGGATGTATCTCAGCACAAATGACTTATTAAGTACAAATGAATAAAACAGCAACTTTACAGAGGACACTACCCTAACCATACAATGGGAGTAAATATCACAATAATGGAACAGGCCAACATCTGTGCCTACTGATGAGACACAATGAGAACTGAAGGATATAACTTCACTTAGGGTAGTTATTCCTGCTCCAAATACACACTCTGAATCCAATCACAAGGAAACATTAGATAAACCAGAGTTGAGAGACTTTATAAAAAAAATAACTGGCCTTTACTCTTTAAAAATGCAAATGTTGGCCGGCATGGTGGCTCACACCTGTAATCCCAGCACTTTCCGAGGCTGAGGCGGGTGGATCACCTGAGGTCAGGAGTTTGAGACCAGCCTGGCCAACATGGTGAAATCCCATCTCAACTAAAAAACACAAAAGTTAGCTGGGCACAGTGGCAGATGCCTATAATCCCAGCTACTTGGGAGTCTGAAGAAGGAGAATCGTTTGAACACAGGAGGTTAAGGTTTCAGTGAGCTGAGATTCTGCCACTGCACTCCAGCCTGGGAGCCAGAGCAAGACTCGGCCGACCCTCCCCGCTCCTGCCAAAAAAAAGCAAATGTCAGCTTTGGGAGGCTGAGGTAGATGGATCACTTGAAGTCCGGAGTTTGAGACTAGCCTGGTCAACATGGCAAAACCCTGTCTCTACTAAAAATACAAAAATTAGGTGGGCATGGTGGCGGGCACTTGTAATCCCAGCTACTCAGGAGGTTGAGGCAGGAGAATTGGTTAAACCCAGGAGACAGAGATTGCAGTGAACCGAGATCAGATCATTGCACTCCAGCCTGGGTGAGAGAGCAAGACTGTCTCAAAACAAAACAAACAAAAAATGCTAACGTCAACAAAGATGCAGAAAAGCTGAGGAAATGTTCCAGACTAGAGATTAAAGAGACTAGATTAGCTGGGCCGAGTGGTGCATAGCTCCAGCTACTCAAGAGGCTAAGATGGGAGGATCACCTGAGCCCAGGTCTGCATGAGCAACACAGCAAGACTGCAGTCTCAAAAAAAAAAAAAAAAGCTAGGTGTGGTGGCTCATGCCTATAATCACATTCGGAGGTCGAGGCAGGAGGACTGCTGAGGCTACAAGTTCAAGACCAGCCTAGACAACAAAGTGAGACCCCATCTCTACAAAGAATAAAAAAATCAGCCTAGGCCGGGCGGAGTGGATCATGCCTGTAACCCCAGCACTTTGGGAGGCCGAGGCAGGTGGATCACGAGGTCAAGAGATCAAGACAATCCTGGTCAACATGGTGAAACCCCATCTCTACCAAAAATACAAAAAATTAGCTGGGCATGGTGGTGCGTGCCTGTAGTCCCAGCTACTCGGGAGTCTGAGGCAAGAGAATTGCTTGAACCCAGGAGGCAGAGGTTGCGGCGAGCAGAGATCGCGCCATTGCCCTCCATTCTGGGTAACAAGAGCGAAATTCCATCTCACACACACACACACACAAAAAGTGCAAAAATTAGCTGGGCATGGTGATGTGCGCCTGTAGTCCCAGCTACTAGGAAGGCTGAGACAAGAGAATTGCTTGAACCCAGGAGGAGGAGGTTGAGGTGAGCCGAGATCGTGCCATTGCACTCCAGCCTCGGTAACAAGAGCAAAACTCTGTCTCAAAAAAAAAAAAAAGTACAAAAATTAGCTGGGCATAGTAGTGCATGCCTGAATTCCCAGCTACTTGTGAGGCTGAGGCAGAGTTGCTTGAACCCAGGAGGTGGAGGTTGCAGTGAGAGGAAATCGCGCTATTTCACTCCAGCCTAGGTAAGAAGAGCGAAACTCCGTCTCAAAAAAAAAATGTACAAAAATTAGCTGGGCATGGTGGCGCAAGCCTGTATTCGCAGCTACTCGGGAGGCTGGGGCAGAAGAATTGCTTGAACCCAGGAGGCGGAGGTTGCGGTGAGCCGAGATTGCGCCATTGCACTCCAGCCTAGGAAAGAAGAGCAAAACTCCATCTCAAAAAACAAATGTACAAAAATTAGCTGGGCCTGGTGGTGTGTGCCTGTAGTCCCAGCTACTCCGGAGGCTGGGGCAAGAGAATTGCTTGAACCCAGGAGGCAGAAGTTGCGGTGAGCAGAGATTGCGCCATTGCACTCCTGCATGGGTAACAAGAGCAAAACTGCGTCTCAAAATAAATAAACAAAAGTACAAAAATTAGCGGGGCATGGTTGCCGGTGCCTGTAGTCCCAGCTACTCTGGAGGCTGAGGCAAGAGAATTGCGTCAATCCAGGAGGCGGAGGTTACGGTGAGCAGAGATCACGCCATTGCACTGCAGCCTCGGTAACAAGAGCGAAACTTCGTCTCAAAAAAAATAAAAATACAAAAATTAGCTGGGCTTAGTGGCGAGCACCTGAAGTCCCAGCTACTCCTGAGGCTGAGGCGGAATTGGTTAAACCCAGGAGGCGGAGGTTGCTATGAGCCGAGATCGCGCCATTGCACTCCAGCCTGAATAACAGGAGCGAACTCTGTCTCAAAAAACATTAAAAAGTGCAAAAATTAGCTGGGCCTGGTGGTGCGCGCCTGTATTCGCAGCTACTTGGGAGGCTGAGGCAGAAGAATTGCTTGAACCCAGGAGGCGGAGGTTGCGGTGAGCCAATATCATGCCATTGCACTCCAGCCTGGGTACCAAGAGCGAAACTCCTTCTCAAAAGAAAAAAAATTAGCTGGGCCTTGGTGGTGCGTGCCTGTAGTCCTAGCTTCTCCGGAGGCTGAGGCAAGAGAATTGCTTGACCAGGAGGCGAAGGCTGCAGTGAGCGGAGATCGCTCCATTGCACTCCAGTCTGTGTAACAAGAGCCAAACTCCATCTCAAAAAAAAAAAACACAAAAATTAGCTGGGCATGGTGGCCTGCGCCTGTAGTCCCAGCTACTCAGGAGGCTGAGGCAAGAGAATTGCTTGAATCCAGGAGGCGGAGGTTGCAGTGAGCAGAGATAGTGGCATTGCACTCCAACCGGGGTAACAAGAGCGAAACTCAGTCTCAAAAAAAAAAAAAAAGAAAAGAAAAAGAAAAAAAGAAATGCAAAAATTAGCTGTACATGGTGGCCTGGGTCTGTAGTCCCAGGTATTCGAGAGGTGAGGCTAGAGAATTGCTTGAACCCAGGAGGCGGAGTTGCAGTGAGCCAAGATCACGCCTTTGCCCTCTAGCCTGGGTAACAAGGGTGAAACTCAGTCTCAAAAAAAAAAAAAAAAAATAGAAATATTAGCTGGGTGTGGTGGCACCTGCCTGTAGTCCCAGCTACTCGGGAGGCTGAGGCAAGAGAACTGCTTGAACCCAGGAGGTGGAAGTTCCGGTGAGCCGAGATCACGCCATTGCACTCCAGCCTTGGTAACAAGAGCGAAACTCCGTCTCAAAAGAAAAAAAAAAATTAGCTGGGCATGGTGGTGCGAGCCTGTAGTCCCAGCTACTCTGGAGGCTAAGGCAAGAGAATTGCTTGAATCCTGGAGGCAGAGGTTGTGGTGAGCAGAGATCGCGCCATTGCACTCCATTCTGGGTAACAAGAGTGAAACTCCGTGTCACACACACACACACACACACACACACAAAGAAAAAAAACGTACAAAAATTAGCTGAGCATGGTGGCACGCCCCTGTTGTCCCAGCTACTCGGGAGGCTGAGGCAAGAGAATTGCTTGAACCCAGGAGGCAGAGGTTGCGGTGAGCCGAGATCGCGCCATTGCACTCCAGCCTGGGTAACAAGACCAAAACTCTGTCTTTAAAAAAAAAAAAAAAAAAAAAAAAAAAAAGAGGACTCAAGATGGCGCTGTGAGAACAACCCAGGATTGGAGCTCTTCTCGTTGAATCCGCAAACGGTGAGTCAGAGCGGCATTTCCAGACTGATCTTTGTTGCCCACAGACCGGGGAAACTCCCAAGTATAAAAAAGACACGGGACGCCAGGCAGTAGGTCTGCCTGGCGAAGCCGGCAGCCGGGGCGGCTGCAGCCGGCCCTACCCAGCAATCCCCACAGGGCGCGCTTGTCCGGGTGCCCTGTTGAACCGGCAACCTGAGACTTGAGAGGGCTGGACTTGAGACTGAACGAGACTTGGACAGTAGGCCAGCCCAGGGGATTGCAGGGATTGGGATACCCAGTGGGACGAACAAAACCGCGATTTCAAACTATCCCGAGCAGACGGTCCGAGACGCTCTGTGGGGGAGGGGCGTCCACCACTACCGAGGCAACCCGCCCCAAATGAGATACACGCCCACTGCTGACGCAGCCAGCCGTTGCCGAGGCAACCCGTCCCTACTGAGATACACGCCCACTGCTGATGCAGCCTGCCGTTGCTGAGGCATCACGCTACAACGAAGAGACTCTGCCGCAGGGCGTGGCGGAGACCACAGCAGAGCCGGCAGGAACAGCACGAATCACACAACAGCAGGGCGGAGCCTCAGCAGCCAAACAGTGGCTAGTCTGCCTTCTAGCTGTGCAGGACACCTGATCGGACATCCAAAAATAAAGCCCAAACCCCTCAACACAGAGCATTTGAGAAAAAAAAAAAAAAAAGGGTTTTTTAATGAGCTCTGTTGCAGCAGAATCAAACATAGCAGCCTAACAGCCCTGAATGAACAACACAGCTCACAGCTCAGCAATTAAACCCCTATAAAGTACAAACTGTCTCCTCAAGCAGCTCCCTGACCCCTCTATATCCAAAAGACTGACATTAGGCAGGCATCATCCTGGGACAAAGAGAGCAGAAAAAGAAACTGGTAGC